TTTACTGTGAGTCCCTAGCACAATGGAAAACAAAATAATTGATGGTTCTTCCACATTAGATATCCTAGGAAATGCTACTATAAACAACGCATTGACACTTTTAATGATGCAGAAATAGATAGTTAATCACATTAATGTGATATTAATATCCTTCATGTAATCAGGACAATAGCTCTCTTGCCTTCTGATGTATTTTTATCTCCCTCCCTCGTGTGTGTGTGTGTGAGTGAGTGAGTGAGTGAGTGTGTGTGTGAGAGTGTGTGTATTGCTGGCAGAGGCAGGCTGCTACTTTTGTTTTTGTTTCTGGCAGGGTTGGGGAGGTGAGTGATCTCCAACTGTCTTTGTCTTTTGTGGAGGTGTATTTATTTGTGTGTGTACATGTGCAACTTGCCAGCTTTCCTTTTGGCTGCGAGTGGGTGAGAGAGCAATTATATATTCCTTAAATTGTATGTCTGTGAAATGACTGTTTTCTTTGTTTGGGTGAGGATAAGGGAAAGAGAATTGACTGTACAATGTATATGTGTTTGTATGTCTCTGTCTCTCTGTGTGTATTTGTTGTCATCTTTTCCCAAAATGTATGTGTGGCTGTGGGCATTTTATTTTTCAGGGTGAGTGGGGGCAGAGGCACTTGGACAGTACTATTTGCAGACCTACTCTTGTATCATCTAAGACAGGGGTAGGCAACCTTTTTAAGGTCTGGGCCGGTCCCCCGAAGTCCTCCTTTCCACTGGGCCGGGGGGGAGGAATGGCAGCGTGCACGCACGCACACACACCCCGCCACCGCGCGTGAACCTCCCCCCACGCGTGCTGCCGCCGCCGCCGCCGCCACACATGTCACAGCCACCATTTTGATTTCCAAATGGCAGCCGCAACGCATTTGCGCATGCGCAGGAGTACTCACGGCTGCCACCACTGATTGTATAAAACCACTCCTTTAAAAAGCTGTATTTTGTTACTCCTGTGCATGCGCAAACGCGTCGCGGCCGCCATTTTGGAAATCAAATGGCACATGCAGCCAGACAGAGGCGAAAACGCGCCGCGGAGGCAGTGGTGGCGGCAGGGGTCTGCCTGGGTCGGAAAGTCCAGTGACCTGGGCCGGAACCGGCCCAGGGGCCGTAGGTTACCGGTGCCTGATCTAAGAGTTGGGAAGCCAGGAGCTTGGAGGAGTTTGCCAAGTCCTTCAGGAAGTCACTCTCCTCCCTCACCTAACTGCCTTTGCTGTTGCTGCCTATTGGTTTCCCTTCACCATCCTGCTTCTTCTTGCCCAATTTCTTCTTATACCCTGAAACAGTCCCTATTTGGCAGGGACAGTCTCAATGAATCCTCTGCCATCCCATTTTTTCTAGCTGCTATTAAAATGTCCCAGTTTCTCTCTTCATCCTCCCTTTTCCCCACTTTGTCCTCAGTGCACTTCAATTCTTGCAAACTGAGCTCAAAGTTAAAAAGGAGTTTATACTCAAATTATCAAGGAAGGAGGAGGAAGGGGGGAAATCTTGCCTTTCCCAGTAGTCTCAGGCAAAAAAACCCAAACCGCTTAAGCCTCTCTTAGCTTGTGTGTTCTTTCTTATTAATAACTTTTGCCATCTTGACTGTATTCAGATGTTACTTGGCCACCTGTGTTCCATTTTTCATCTTTGAAAGGTTGGAGGGTATGTGTTGTTTTAGCTGCCTAGGGCCTAGTGATTGAAGTAGAGCACAAACACATTTATTGATTTATTTATTTTCTCCTGCCTTTATCCCAAAATGATTCCACAACACAGATTAAAACAAAATAGAGCTTTTTAAAGAATCCCAGCTTTCTTTCTTTTTTTTTTTTTTTAAAA